GGTACAGGAGGGGGTTTGGTTTATTGTTGGGTGTTTTTTTTTTTTTGGGGGGGGGGGGGTTTGCCTTGTTCCTTAGGAATGGTGCTATAACGACACCTGATTTCAATTCACCTCAGGTGAACAGCTTGCTGATAACTTCTGGTCTTCAATTACTTGTTACAGATTTGAACTGGCAAACTAGGGGTGAAAGGCTCCATGTCCTTTTACCATTCTTTAGAGTATCCAGCCCTTTATTTAAGGGCTTAAGAAGGGGAGGGGGAAAGGGTCTCTGCGAATTAGTGCACAGAAAGATGATGACTATTTTAAGGCCTGTGTTGAAGGGGTGGAAAAAGGCAGAGCTTATGCCTGTGCTGCTTCAGCTGCATTGAAGAGGACTTAGCACAGATGGATTGTGCATTACAAAATGTAACACATAATTCAAGCTGTCAGCTTAATCAGACTGTTTCCAGGAAGCAACCTGTAAAAGAGAAGGACCTCTTGTTTGCTGACCTCTGATCCGTAGCCTGCTGCAGATTGTCATACATTTTGTTTTTCTTTATGTTGGTGTCCCTTCCTTCCCCTTCTTTTTTTATTATTGTATCCCCCTCAAGTGGCACCCTGGAAGGACCACCCAGAGGGAGTAAAACAATAGGAAATGAGTTAGCCACTAAAATACAGGTTTTGTAAGACTTCAGCAAAAGAAAAAGCACTGTTTAACTGCATATGTGATCTCCCTGGTATCGTCTTGTTTACTGAATGTCGAAGAACCTCGACTAAATGCACAACAGTTCAGACTTAATTGTTCACAGTTGTCAAACAATCTAATAGAAAGCAAAGCTTTGGATGTATTTTAGCATAATTACGAAACTAACGTGTGAACAGCCTCCTGAGGGCATATAATCAATGTTTAAAGATTGACTGTATAAATATGTCAGCTTCGACAACAAAAATCTTCATATGTCTGTTGGACTCCTTGAGAGCCTGTAGCCCAGCTGTGACACTGCTTCATGGAGTCCTTCTGTGGAAAGTCCTCAACAAAGCAGGCAGTCTGAAATCAAAATCTGAATAGCTACTTACACCTCTGTAAAAGGATTAGCCATACTTTATTGTTTCAAAGTTTAAGTCCTAATTTGCATCATTATAGTGGTGCAGCTTCATCAGAATCCGTCTTAGGTCCCAGTTATGTCTCTGTACCTGTAGGTGGTCACTAGATTTATTCTGATCCTGGAGGTAAAGGAATTAAACTACTCAGTGCAGGAGCAATGTGAATGCATTATTTCAAGTCCTAATTGATTTTGGACAGTTTAAATGCTATTAGAAATTATTACTGTATATACTACCCATAGTTGCATGATATTCCGTAACGGGAAGAGAATGTCTCTTGAGCCGTGTGATTTGAACGTCTATTACTTCATGAATTTGCGGTTTACGTACAGGCAAGGAAATTGCGGGGCGCTGGTCTGGATTTTGATCTCACTTCTGTGAAGGTCAGTTATACTCCTGCCTGGCGTTTCAGTTCAAGCCTGTTCAAATTAATCTATTGTCTGAGCATGTGAAACTTTCTAAATATCCTCATTCTAGTCTGTTTTTATAAACAGCTCTTTTTATGATTGCTTTATCTGAATAGCAATTTTTGTAACTCTTAAACTTTATATACAAGATTGTAGACTCGTACCTGCAGTATTCCATTAGGACAGGGTGACTAGGTGAGGATTTAAACAACCAAGGACACTTTGTCCAGCACACGTGTTTTATGGGCAATTACAGTATCAAAGGGACAGCTAGAACTCCATACAGCTAAAAGTAGATACTGAATGAGAAGGAAAAAAAAATCTCTTTTTAGAGGCTCAAGTTCTGACTATTTGTGGCAGACCAGCTGAAGAACAAATGAGAAGTTACCGTCACAGAAGTCAAGAATGAAAGAAGAAGGGATCTTTTGATCAGATAGTTGACTTTGTGGGAGGTGGGGGGGAAAGAGGCAGGAGAAGGTGAACTTGGAGAAAGAGTGGTTTAATTGATCGTTCAGGAACTCTACTTTTTTGCCAAAGTTCAGAAACTCATAACGTGATGTGCTCTGAAAATGTGAGATTCCTGCAGGAAATGCAAGGAAGAAATGGCTTATATTCTTTAGAAGTCTGAGAAAAATAACACTTAATGGAGTTTTAAGAAAACTAAGAAAATATTCCCCAACATGAAATAATAGATTTCCAGCCTTGTTTGCTCGTGTGCTTTTTATGATGCATTCAAAACAAATTGTTGCAAAAATAAAACTAAATCTTGGTCTTTCTTCCACTGCTTGCAACGTTTTAAAACGATTTCTTGATTTTTGTGGTGTCATTTCTGTATTAAACGTTTTCCTGAGGCATTTATTATATTTAGAGGTATTCTGTTTGACATTGAAATATAAGCATTTTCCTGTAGTTATAGAGAAAAGGCTGGGTATGTAAGGACTGACTGACTTGTTGTCTTTTTTCAAACAGTTTTGAATGAGGAGAAAGTGCAGAAAAGACTTCAGTCTAATGGGGGGAAAAAAATCTGTTTTTTAAATCAGGATTTGAGACTGTCCTTAGCAAAGCTGAAGCTTGACATGGCTATTTAATAAGCTGTAGAGCACAGTTTTGATTTGAACTGAGGAACCAATTTGATTTGTCAACTGACGCTTGAAAATTTTTACCGAGTAAAACGTATACCTGCCTTTCCATGCTCCTCATTGAGTAGTTTTGCCATTTTTAACTCATGGTCATTCTCTCCTCTACTTTAAATAGAGCAAGCCTCTGCTCAACGAAGACAGAGCCCGTGGGGCAAAACCACCTGATGAGCTTAGAACATCAAGAAAGTGTTCATAAAACCAAAAAGGAGTAAATGCAGCAGTGGGATTTTTGGTAGTGCTTAGCTTCATCTTAGCCCTGATGCACCAAAGCCAGAGGCAACTGCAAAATCTACTCCATGCCTGCAAGATTCAGTGTGTGTTGGGAGCAGTCCTCGTGCTAAGCGTGAGACTTGTGTCATTGGCTCGCATCTTGAGCTCCCTCCTCTTCTTCCTGCTTGCAGTGTGGAGCGCGGTCTCTTCCTTCCGCAAAACTTGGGTGCGGAGGGCTGGCCTGATCTTTGCTGTGCTGACCAGCTGCATGTGGCAGAGGACGTGCAGTGGCAAGCTTCAGCTGGGGGTCACGCATTCCTAGGCTGCAGTCAAGGTCCCTTGTAGCCTGCCTTCTCCCCTGTCCTATTAAGAGGATAAATGAGCATCTTAATTAGCACTCGAGAGAAGGAACTGAATTCTGAAAAATTCCTTTTCTAGCATGTTTTCCCAGACTTCTCGCAGTCTGTGCTAGACATGTGAATGTTTCTTCAGCCAAACAGTCTCCTCTTCCTTTGTCAGATTCTCTTTTCACACCAGAAACAGAAACACTACGTCGGATGGAAAAAAAAAAGATTATTCAACTGTTATCCTCTTTACTACAATTTTCCTGTGCTATCTCCTTTCCTTATTTTCCCCCGTACACATAGTGTATTTCCTTACTTTGTAGGCTCCTAGACGCTTTGCTGCTGCTCCTTATCAGTCTGTCTGTCTGTATGGAGGTTTATTTGGCTCAGGGTTTCCTGTGTGAAGATCCCTCTGGGGGACTTCAGAGAACATTATAAAAAGATGAATCAGGTCTAATGAGATTTGCCCTTGAAATGTGAGTGTGCTCACATACCTTGTGCCCATAGCACATGGATCCTTTGTAGACCTCTCTGTGGTCAACAATGACGATTACTCATTGATATTATGTTATTAGGCTTTATAGATTTTTGAGTGGTGACTTTGCATACTGAGGTGTTAGTATTGACTCTCGCTATATATCACCAAGTTGTCAAAATCGGGACCAATAGTGTATTTAGCATTGACGGGAGCATGAAAGAACTCGTACAGTAAGAAAGGACACCATTTTTCTTCGAAGATGGTCATCCTAGCACATGCTGTTTCTTTTGAAACAAGTAAGCTCGAGTATACAAAGAGGGACTGTGAACAGAAATGTGAAAGGAATTGTTAGAGGTCTGGAACTTTTTCTTATTTATACAGAGCTCCAGCAATGTGTGTGTGTGTGTGTAGGTGTTTTGGTGTGGTTTTTCTTCTTCTCCCTTGTCGACACTGTCTGTATACGTGGTATACAGAAATGGTTGTATTGTCTTTTAAAGTTACTTACGGAGTTCTCCATATCTCTCTCCTTCTCTTCCTCTGTGGTCACACGTTTTCATTCCAGAATTTGCTGCCTTTGTCAGGTGTTTTAGCTCTTTTGTAAAACACTTCTGTGGGAATGTAAGAGCAAAAATGAGGCTATGTATTTTTGTAGCTTGTGTGTTGGAAATGTGTTTAAAATACCTGTAATAACTTAATCTTTAAATACTGCTTATGATCTATCTGCAGGGATTGTTTGACGTTTGAAGGATTCTCTCATTTACTGCAGTTTGTGGAAGACTTGATTGAGATAGCAAGCCCCAAAGGCATGGCGTTATACCAGAGCGGAAGCACAAGTGCCGCAAAGATGAAACAGCTGATAAGGTTAATGTCCCTTTCCTCTGAGCGGGGTCTGAGTTGCTGTTCCGAGTTAGATGGTAGAAATTAGAGAAGACTATAGTGTTTCCTATTCCTTAATCCCACCTCATTTATTTTTGTTTGCTTGCTGTCGTACATCTAGCTGTAATGTTTATAATAATTTCATTGTTGATTACTTACAAGGCTTTAATTTAATTCAGGTGAGTAATGACTTAGCTGTTGTTACCTGGCAGCTGTTCAGTAGCCTTTTGAGATGTGAACTAGTCGTTGTCACTCTTTTGGTGACAAATGGCTTGTGCAGAGAGCATGTGAGCTCCTGCAAATAAACATTTGCAGTTGCTAAGAAGCCTCCCTCCCCTTCCACTCTTTTAATGTCATCAGAGAGCTGAAATATAGCACTTAAAACTGCGTACTCAAATTATTTCACCAAATACCCTTTCTTAACTTTATCACCTTTTGCAGCCTTGCTCCACAGACCTCTTAGGTGAAGTAAATACTTACTTCCAAGTGTGAGTTTGTCTCCTTAAAGAGGCTAATAATGCTGGTACCGAGGTAAAGAATAATAACCAGAAAAATAATTTCCTCTTTGAGTTAAGAGTAAAAAGGATCACCAAAACCCATATATTAACAAAAATGAAGTCACATAACCCTAGCAGACGTTCCACGCCACTGTGCTTTTACTTATAAGAACTGAATGGCTTTCTAATTTTATTTAAAATTATCAGCCTCTGTAAACTAGCATTCTCAGAAAGATATGTAATTGTTAAAGGTTTTCTAGGAGATGATGGAAAGAGGGTTTCCAATAGACTTGGCCTGTATAGCCTGCCATTAGATATGGTTTCCTGCAACATAATTGCTTTGACTCTAGCTTATTCAGGGCTGCCCAAACAAGAAATAGTTTCATCACAACGGCTCCCTTAATGGATGTATGCAGGTTCCTCTTGCTTTTACACCTAAGTTTAATATTATGCATGTGAACAAGCTCCCGGATGGTAATCAGATTACTTTTCTGTCCTGTTGAACACATTTTCATGGTTCTCTGTGCAAAGTTGGTCTTTTGCTTCTTGTCATGGTATATGGCTATCAAGTCTCATCTCCTAAATGAAATGCATGTGAATGTTTCCCCTCTAGAAATAGGTGATCCATGCTTTCAATGTAACATTTACTGCAGCTAGACCTTGCAGAGCTGTTCACTGACAAGAATAATTAGTGACTGCTTTTAAGGGGTGGGGGGAAGCTGTTGCTTTTTCCTTGAGATAGATCCAAACTGTCTTTTCAGGCAATTAATATGCTCTTGTTAGGTTTCTTTCACTAGGAGGGAGACCTTTTTCAGGTCTATGATTCACTGGTTTTCTGATTCACTGTCAAAAAGCAAAAGTTTAAAATTAAATTCATTATTTTCTAAGCAATGTGTTTTTAACATCACTGTTTTGTATTATGCCTTTTCAAAAGACTTAGCTATGGATGTTTTTCTGTCTAGGTTGTTCTGCTGGTTATTCTGTAAGCCAAAAGAAGTATTACAGTCTGTATCCAAACCTATTCTAGCTATCTCTCTGGGCTTTAAATAAACATTTCATGTAGCACCTGCTTTATTTTTTAGCTTTTGTAATCATGCTTTATTTTTTAGCTTTTGTAATCGTGCTGGCAATTTGAAAGAAGACGACCTTGAAACATGTGAAGCAGTTGTCCTTCATCAGCTTCAGAGTTTATTACAGAGCATACTGAATGGATGCCTCTTACCTGAGAAAACACTCAATGTTGAAGGTAGAGCTATGGGAGAAAAGCAAATCAGGTATTGTAAATGCAGAACTTAATATATTGTATGATTAGCATTCTTTACCGTCCAAATTTGACTCTCTCACGAGGAGAAAGCATAACCTAGATCGTGTTTCTGACTGATATCAAAAGCAAAGATTTCTGAGGAGTGATCTTCTCATGTCTCAGTATCAGCTATGTGGTTCTAAATGAAAAGAGTAAGCAAATTTTTAGTGGTCAGTTGTCTAAATCATGTTGAGTAAGCTCTTCTCTTTAAAAACTGGTATATCAATTTATTTTTTAGGTGTTAATTATAAAACTTTTTCACTTTATCATATGCATCATTTAGTGAAAGGTGATGACTGAAAGCTATCTGTGTGAGAGACATGGGGTAAAATCTTGTCTCAAACAGTATCAGAAGTGTGCGTTAAATGTCTGGTTTGCTAAGCATTTAGTACATTACAAACATTTAATGTACTTCATGTATGTCTGCTTATGCAGGAAAGCAAATAGGATGACTTTACAGGAAAGAAGTAGCTTTTGAGTTGCCTAATTGGTATTAGATTTTTATTCTACCAGGCAGAACTCAGCCTTGGTTTCCAGTGTCTCGCTCTGAGTTTGTTGCATACCTCATCCTAGCCTCCTTTGATAAGGAGGGAAAAATAGACCTCTTAGCCAGTAATGTTTATTTTCAGTGTGAGTGCTGGAAACATGAGGATGTGTAATGTAGTTTTGAGAGATGAATTTTTTTTTCTGTGAAGCAGAAGATGCATATATCCTTCAAAAACAATAAACCACAGTTATTCAAATACTTTTTCTTTCCTGTATGTATGCTACAAGGACAAAGGAGAATTGGTTTTTAGGTCTTTTAATGAAGTAATTAAAACAATTTCTGTTCTCTCTCTCTCTCTCTCTCCTGAAACATTACCTCTTTTCAGCTCCCCTCCCTCCCCCCCTTTTTTTTTTTTTTTTTTTTTTTTTTTAATTTAGGTTCTGTCTAAAGCTTCATCCATGCTACAGGCTCAGAAGTGCTCAAGTGTTAGCAGGATCAGGACACTTGTTAGCACTGAAGAATCATCTATTTAACTATGTCTGGTTTTCCTTTAGAGGCAGATTATTTCTCTGAGCACTAATATGTTATTGTAGAATTTCCTAAATGGTTTTTTAGGGAAGGACACTTGCAGAGTTAATTGAAACTCATTCTTCTGCAGCTTGTGAAATTTCATTGGAGCAAGCAGAAAAGCAAACATCTTTGACAAATGCAACTGGAGTATCACACTTTTGTTCAAAATTCATGAACTAATTTTTGAGAAAAATGACTGTGGAAATGGGTCTCTAGCAGAGTGCTTAATAAAATAAGTGAGGCTTTCCTAAGGATAAGTCTAGGAGCTGCAGGAGAAGAAGCAGTTTAATACCACCTGACACTAAATCTCATGATTAATCCAGGAGACCTTAGGACATTTGATTACCTGTGTTGTTACTGTTGTCCCCCCTCCTTCCCAGCTTTTCAAAATTTGTGGGAGTGAAAAGTGTTTTCTTGTGGTTTTGCTTTTAAAAACGTCAAAAGTGCAAAATGGAACACTGAATTAATGGAAAAAGGTTGCATATTTTCCTACAAAACATTGAACTACTTTGTCTAGCTCTGGTCAAGTAAATGAGTAGTATGGGATGTGTATGAATAATATAGGATTTGGTAAATCTTGTTTACATGTGTTATCTCAATAGTACTTATTTTTGTTCTTCAGGTCAGACCAGCAATTGGATCTTGCCAAGTTATGGGCTTGTTTGAGCAAGCATGCCTTGTTCTTGAAAAAGCACCATGTTTTGCTCACAGAAGAAGTGGCAAAGATGTTCGACACCTTGCTGATTTCAGAAAAAAATGTGCAAGATGCTCAGGTTAGCACTTATTTGTCCATCTGTTTTGCTTATTATTTGTCAACTTCTCTATGCGAGCCTGTGCTGCGGTGACAAACTGTTCTGAGAGAGCAGAAGAACATTAAAAATCGACCTTTTTAGTATAAAGAACGACTAGACTTAATCTGCAGCTCCTGTCAGATCCCTTGTACTGATTCTTGTGATCACTGGTCCCTGTGTTCTCGCTTCCTCTTTCCTTTTTTCCGCTTCTGCAGTGATAAATCCCTTATTTCTACGTTTTTTTGTTATGAGAGAAACTTGGATGCTTACTAAATATAAAGCAGAGCAAAAACTGTGCTTAGGTAGGTCCCAAGAGATTTCCAGCTGTAACAACATTGCACAGAAAAACCCGGTAGTCTGAGTTAAATGAGTCTTTAAACCACTTGCAGGTTTATAAAGTTGAAAGGGCTCCCTGAAGTCTGTTTGGGAACATGTTGGCTACAGTAGAGGTTCTAGAGCAATGTTGCAATGTTCGCTGTCAGCAAAACTGAATAGGTGGGTAGCCACGTTGCATTTGTTTCAGTTTCTGAAGGCTCTACAGAGGAACTCGTGTGCAGAATGCACTATATGAGAAAGGTCCAACTACAGAGTTGTAAAATCTTGGGGTTTTATTTGTTTAGTTGAAGATCAAGACCTAACTTTTCAGATACAACCAAAGACTAATCTTTGCTTTATTTGAAAATGTTGTTTGCTTATTTGTACTTTAAGATTTGAGTTACATAAACGCCACCTTCTGTGAAGATGACCCCTGACTACAGGGGCGATGGTCGTTTTAATTTGCTGTGGCTAGCTGAAGGTGGAGCAGTTTGGCTTTTCATGGTGTCTGAAGTTCTTTCAGAATCCAAGAAGACAAAGATGGTACTTCAAAGAGACAAAGCAAGTTTGTCTTGGTTTGCTCTTCCACTAGCACAGTACTGGAGGAATACATGGGGGTTGTAGAGCACAGAAGAACAGATGTTTTTCTCTTGAAGTCAGGGTTGTAAGTCATCAGCCACAACAGTAACTTCCATCTCATCCGCTTGCTTTAGCGTGGCAGTTGGATGTGTTATGTTTATGTCAGTACCGTTGGGATAAGAAAGCCAAGTAAGCTACAGTGTCTGCCAGAAAGACAGTGACCCATTGACAGGCGTTTCTGCCTAGCTCTGTTGCATCTAGATCTGAGGCAAGAAGGTGTTCAAATATAGGTGAGGGAAGCGAACGTCTGCAAAGCTAGGCATTAGCTGCTGTGGGGAAGCTCTTTGGAAAAAGTCATTTTAGTACCTATTTGTGGGCCTTTTTTTGTTTTTGTTTTTTTTATTATTATTAAAGGTCTATCTGGGGCTTACAAAGACTTCAGTGAAATAAACTAGCTTTGCTTCTTTTAGATACAGAACCGAGGGTCAGGAAAATAGAAATAGTCATACTGCTCGAGTCACAGTTTGTATTTTGTTTTTTATATACATGTGTGTAAGTATTTATAGCCTTTGGCTCCATTTCTAGCTTATGAACATCTCTCTTAAGGAATGTTATTTTTAATCAGAAATAAAATAGTTCTTCAGAATCATTCTGATTAAATGACAATTTAAATGAGCTTGGTAAACATTAAATGTCCTAGCCTACTGTTCATACTTAAACTTAATTAAGCGCAAGTGAAACACTCGGGAAGCTTACAATGGAGAACCTGAAAGGCTCCATTTTTGCAAAGAAAATTCCTATAATTTAGTAATGTCTCATTACAAAGGCATGTAACGCGTTTAGATCTTAGCAGTAATACAGGTTGGATTTCTTTCAGCACGCTCAGCGAATCTAGTCAGTAAATGCAAACTTCTTTCCCTGTCTGGGGTATAGCTTTATCAACAAAGGAATTGTAAAGTGATATAATGATCGGTCAAACTTCCCCAGGCTTAACTGCTTTTACGTTTTCACAAAAAGAACTCATCAATTTACAACCAAGGGCCCTTTTTTTTTTTTCCCCTCCCCTCCAGAATGCTTCTTGCAGTGATTATTGTATCAAAAGCGTAATGGAATCAACAGAACCTACTTAACTCTTGTCACAGAGAATAAATACCCTCTGACAATATGGAGTGTTCAGGCAAACATTACTGTACTGGCTTATTACAGGCAGAGGAAAATGAAGAGATCACTAAAACAAGTGTTTCTCAGGGTAGAACATTCTCCTGCTATTAATTAAATAGTTCACATGCTTTTTCTTTCGTTGTCTTGCTCTTTTTATTTTGGAAGAGAAATCCTAATTCCTCAGAAAAATAAGGTACTTAAGGACCGAGTGTGGCACTGAAGAATCAAGTAACACTGAAGTGCATGACTAGAAATTGTTATTTTTTCAGGATCTCTATCTCGCTTAGTGTGCTGTCTGATCAGAGAGGCATCAGTCAACACGGATGTGTGTATTTATAATTCTACTGTAAGAAAAATATAATATGTAAATCGATGATACCTAGAGACTAAATTGCACTGTTCAAATTGGCCCTGTGCTAGTAATAGTATCTGAAACTTGTATTTGATACTTTTATCTGAAGGACCTAATGACAAGCAGTTATCATTCATTAATCAGTCCTCAAGGCAATTAGAAAATGGGTAGGAAGAGAATATAAATTTTTCATGCGTCTCGAAATACATACACACATGCACATCCGCCCCACTTTATCCCATGAAGAAAAAACCCTCCTGAAGGCCTTAAAGAGCTTATCTGTTTTCCACCCTTCAAACCATTTATATATTTAAATAAGTGCACACATTTGCTATGGTGCAAATTTATCACAAGGCTGATATCATCTGTCTTTCTCTATGACTTAATAGCTTTTTATAGTGAATGATCTATTTTTTTCTTTTGAAAAATAGAATAATGTTTAATGTACTAAATATGTAGAGAATTTTACAAATAGCATGCTTATTCTTTTTAAACTTTAATTTATAAGGTCATAAACTAACTTCAAAAAAAGAAAAGAAAAAAAGAGTTGGCAGTTTGATAGACCAACTAGTGCCCTGACCTCTTTTGCTACAAATCCAGAGTAAATAGCTTTGTACAGTGGCTAAACTGAATGCAAGATGAATTGCATCTTTCCGGGTTCCCAGCAAGGCTGTCTGGTCCGGAACAGTTACTCTATCACTCTGTCGGAAATCTCAGGTTGGGGCTCCCACATTCATTTTGCATGTTAGATGTACAGTTGATCCTCTAGCTTTAGGTTTTAGCACTATGCAACAGATCGTCGGTGCTTGCACTTGTTGTTAAGGCTGCTTCTTGCTTGTTGGCAAGTACAGGGCATGTGTATGACTCTGAACAATGCAGAGGCTGTAATTAAAGGTTTCCTTTTAGTCGCTAGTACTAGTGCTTAAGTTTTATGTACACTTCTTGTCTGCTGATCACAAAGCACTTTGCAAAAGAAGGTGTGATCCCCATTATCTTCATTGTACAGGCTCAAACAAGAGTTCAAATGGCTGGTCTCCTCTGGGATAGAATTTGAGTTGCAGACTCCTAAGTAGAATTTAGGTCTTCTGCCACCAGTTTGGTGGACTTGGCTGCTTCCTAGGTAATGTATGGGATAGATCCTGGCAAAGAAGAAATTTGTAATTTCTTCACTGGCTCTGCAATGAGACTTACTAAGTCTTTGAATCAATCCACAGATAAAAAGATGGCCTGCCCTTCTCTTTGTGAAATCTCTTCTAGAGGCTATTACAGAGGTTAAATAGACTAAACTCTTTGCTGAGATTTTTTTTTTCTTCTCACTGTCTGTAGTTTGAAAAAAGTTGTATGCGTGCATATGCGTGTGTGTGTGTGTGTGTGTGTATATATATATATATATATAAAAGCTTTCCACCAGACCAAATATATTTGCAGAACTTACTTTTCCTCTAATTTTTAATAAGAAATTAAAAACAGTAGTTTGCACTGCTTTAATATATTTTTAGTTTTAATAACGTTTGAAAGAAATAATGAAAATGTAATACTTTAGTAAACTGTATACTTTCAATTATAGCCAAGGTAACTTCTTTTTCTGCATGTGGATAAATAATTTGTATTCAGAGCTTAAAACAGTAGGTCAAATAAAAGATCCAAACAAGGAATGTATCTCTGTGCAAGTGATGGATAAATACTGTGCATAAAATTATAATTGTATATGAAACCTTTTACAAAGTTAATGAAAGCTCAATAACAAGTGCTTTATGGGTCAATATGTGCAGTAATAATCTGTTTATTACTGTATGCTATTGTGGCTCATATACATGCATTTAATACTTATATTATCTATTAAACAGAATTTGTTCGCTTAAATCTTCCCCCAGGTGCATTCCATACTCTGCAACGTCTTATTTCCAAGCAGGCTGCACAGCACAGTAGCAGTATAAAATATATAATGTGCATGTGCAGAAACAGTTGCTTTAACGTAAGGATTTATATAATATGATTGTGAATATATGAACAACCTGTACCTAAGGATCTTAAATATTTAAGATCCTAAAGTTTGAATTTCAAGTCCATGTTGGTGACTTGTTTCTCTGAGGGCTTAAAAATCTGCTAAGTACTGCATTGCACAATGATGTTTCACAGCCTTGCGACACAGCTAAAATGGACAAGATCGTACAGACCCTGACTGCCCTGGTGGAGTTTGACCTAACGGGAAAACTTGCCCTGACTACACAAACAGACCTAACAAGCTAATGGAGGCTCTCCCTCGCGTAACCAGCTAGGTCCCATCAATGCTTGCGATCTTAGGAGTGTTTGGTGCTGACCAGCAAGGGCTGACTTCTCATTCAGCATCTTCAGGAGCATCTTCAGCTTCTTATTCTGGGTTGTTGTGCTACTTTTCCCTAGGTAACCTGGGTTGTGTTGCCGTAGTCTCCCTTTCTCTGCTACTGGTGCAGTCTGTTTATCTACCTGCCTCTCCTGTCCTGTTCTCATACCACTTCGTTATGTCTGTCTTGTCCTATTCTCTTCTGTCTTACAGTCAACTTTTTCTTCTCTCATGGATCTCGCCCTTTTCATTATCCATCTTAAGAAAACAGGGCATTATTCTTGTGGATGGGGAACAGTAATAGGGAGCTGACTACACGGAGGGTCTTAATACGCTGCCAAAACGGAAGTGTAGTATAATCTTTTAGCTGTGAGAGCTATGGACTTGAGTGTCTTACTCAGCTGACTTGTCCTTCTGTAAGAATAAGACCAATGTGGCTTATACAGCATGTTAGCAGTCTTCTCGCCCTGATGTAGATGTTGAAATGCTCTGGAACTGGTTTGGTCCCTGTTACTCTGAATGTCAAACCTTGGTTCTCTTAGTAAGAACCTGTTTTGCTGAAGGTACGTCAAGAAGCCTTTTTATGGTATTAAAGTTTACACTTACTGCTTGTATGTATTGAGGGTGGTTCATGTCTGTTTAGATGTTAAATGATACTGCAAATAGGCGAATGAATTAATTTTGATATGGGAAAATTTGCACTAAGGTAAAGTGCTAAATGGAAATGAATTTGCACTGAGTTAAACTGCTGAATGGGAATTAATTTCTTAAATGAGAAAGATTTCCCAACCCAATCTGCAATTTAAGCCTTTTTTCATTAAAAAGGGAAACTCAGAATAGCCATTTTCAGATGAAATAGCTGATTGCTCTTGTTTTTGTATGACGACTCCCCATACGTAAGGTTAATTTAAAAAAATAGTCCATGACACTTATTTGCTTAAGACTCAGAAGTTGCTATTCTGGGCTCCTGGATAAATGTGCGATTAGTGAAGAGGGGAGAGAAGTGAAAGAATATTTTTTTCCTGTAGATCTGAAATGTTTTTACTTGAAGACATTCCATTCTCTTGGGTAAATAGAAATAATGTCACGAAAACTGGGATTATTTCTGAGGTGTTAAGTCAGCCTTCAGGGGCAGGGACTATTTGATGAACAATTAGATAATTATAACATAAATCTAGTAGATTTTAAAGAATCAAGTCCACATTTTTATTACAAAATAAAGATAAGAACATTATACAAATTAGATAGGAAAGATGCCAAAAAAGCCTTTCCTGCTGTTGATGGAATAATAAATACCAGAAAATGCTTTCTACTGTTCTCAAAAATGAAGCTTTATGAAGCAGCACACGGCATTTGCAACACGCATAGATGATAACCTTAAAGTGCTTACTTTATCTTAAGCCTGCTTTTAACTCAGCCATATTTATGCTATGTTCAACTCCCTATAAAAACATTGGCTTTCATCTTTTTTTGGAGTTTAAAAATATGCTTAATTATGGAGGTCTGAATAGTGCTGCTGCAGACATCAGCGTGCATAGACAGGAGAGGATAAACTTTATGAATGTGCAATAATAATACAGATTAAAATCTGAATTGAGTCTGACAGAAGCGAGCTTTGGATCGTACTCCTTGACTTCAGATATATTGACGTAGGTGTTGTTTTAAATCCTAACTATTGCAAACAGTGTGGATTAACTTGCCTTATGCTAGTGTGCCTGAAATGGAGAAGAAAAGATATGTGTGTGTGTGTGTGTATTTTTTTTTGTCTGTTGCTGTTGCAGCCTAGATAATACACCCTTATATTTTGTAGATTGTGAATATCTGATGAGCAGAATACTGAGAATTTCTGGAAAACGTGGTGATTAAAACAATTAAAGCTTGTATTACTTCAAGGCAAAATGTAATTCCTAAGCTAACACTGGTTTAACTCAGAGGTAATTTAATTTCTAACAAAAACACCCTGGAAACAGATTACACTGTAAAGTGTAGATTAGCTTAAATGTATGTTGGAAAACATTGCTGCTCGAGAATAAGAATAATGGGGCTGCAGTGGTGTGTGTGTGTGTGTTTTTTTTTTTTTAATGCTGTAGGCTCTACCGTTGTTGAGAGAGGTCCTTCCAGAAGAGTGTGAAGATAGGTCATCTATTCAAAGTAATGAATCATCTTACAGCTTGCCATCAATTCTAAACGACAGAGGTGAAATAAAGCAGTCAAAACACGCTCACTGGCTTGACAGCGTTGGTACAAGGGAACAAGGTAACAAATGTTAAAAGGTCTGTCTATGCGCTCAAAGTTATTGTCATTCCATGTTGCACGATATAAACGTGTCCCTATCAAAACCTACAGGAAGCTGTATTATAGCTACTGGTAAAATAATATGTATTTTTCATGAACTTTGGGTGATACTCTTAAATATCTCGGCAGTAATCATTCTTGTTACTTCATTAAAATGAATGGTACCTATTGTGACTCTCTTTCTGTAGTAGGAAAGCGAGCACTGGGGCAATTTGTAGGTCCATCTTTAGTATATATATTTTAAAAAGTCTACTATTTAGAAGTCATATGATGTATTAGTTAAATTTTATTTTAAACCCAGACTGCAGAATAAATATTTAAAAATAGTAGGATTTATGCTAAGGAAGGTAGGCATTTCAGTTTCCAAGCTTAAAAGGTGAATATTTGTGGAAAATCTACTTCATTTCTTTCGAGGAGGAAGTAATATATGAGCCCACTGCAATAACTAGGAGATGGTAACTTGCGCTGTGTGCTCTCAGAACATTCCTTACATCAAAGTCTAAAAGGGGCAGGCAGTTAGGTTTCAAGGCTCTTTACCCAGAAAATGTAAACAAATTGATTTAGGCCTCCTAAATTCCTGCTACTTTTATCCATGGAGGAGATGGAGACTTTGATTTAAACTAATTTTCTGTGGTTGGTATGAGATATACTATTGCTGTCGGGCTGCTGGACAAGATTGCAGAGTTACTGTTGGTTGTTTGTTTCTTAAATCCCATCGGGTCTTAAATTATTTAAGACTTTTGGGTAGCTTGTCCTTTTCTCTGGAAGCTACAGAGAGACACAGTAGCATCATAGACGAGAAAGTTCACAGTAGGCTCCTCTTTTAAGAACCATAATGGATAGCTTAGATCAATAAACAAGAGATAACAAAAGTGAAAAATTAAAGGGAGTAGGGCTTAAAAGAAAACAAACCAGTCTGATCGTTGCGACTTTGAAATGGGTTTCATTATTGTGTGTTCACACACAGAAGTCACAAGCTGGTGTGAAGATGAGAGCAAGGAAGAAAGCGTGGTAGAAAAGATTCCTATTGCAGGTAAAAGTAATGGCTGCATATTAACCCCAAATACAGTATTCAACTTTATAATATAATCAAAACATTGCATTTTAGTCGTTTGGAAGCACTAATAGTGAGTAAACTCAGCTACTACATACTGAGCACAAAGATTAAACATTAAATCATAAAGTACACGCTTATGTTAACATAAACCAAGATGGAAAATAACTGCCTGTTTAATTCCTTGTAATCATGTTATACGTTTAAACCATGTGAATATCCTGTCATTTAGCCTTTCAGGTCTTAGTATCAGTGTTACAAAGGTCAGTCTCCATGGGGAAGATCCAGTAATTATATGGCAAACTACAGATGTTTCTGATTTGATTCTTTTCTTTTCAGTAGTAATTGAATGTGTATCATTAGAATAAGCGCAGAAAAAATTGTGCTAGACAGGAAGCTGTGCTTTTGCCTCTGTTACAAAAGCAGTCTGATAGTATAAAATTTCTAGCAATAAGGTTTTATCAGGACTTGTTAAGGTCTTCCTGTAGCAGATGTATTATACTTGTTTAGAATCCTGAATTATCACTGCTTTTTAGTTCTAAAGTATCAGTAACACATTAGTATTCAGGACAGAACTCTTTGCGAGAAGTCTCAATTTGCTATCGCTTTATTTTGTAAAGTGGTGGGCTGCTTCATTATAAATTTTCATCTTTGGCTAAATATTTATACAGGTGTATACTCTGACAAAGAAAAGGTGCTAGGGCATCTGTTTGTATAACACATGTTTGTTTTCTGCTTTTTTTATGGCTTAAAAATCATGTGTCTTTCTGAGAGCAAGCCATGTTTCTATAGAGGTTTTCCTCTGCTGCCTTTTGAGCCTGATTTGCAGCTGAAATATAACAATGTGCTGCTTCTTAACAAATAAAACTTGAGATTTTTGAGAGTAGAATGCTTTTTTATTTTTGTATTTCTTAAAATGCCCGTCAGTCAAGCATGATGATTTTTTTTTAAAGATGGATTGCATTGATTTTTTTTTCAGATGAATTAAAAAAGCACACACGCTACAAGCCATTTAAATCTTTTAAATGAAATGAAACACACTTCTCGTAGAATATTAATCAAAAAGTGTATGGAACTTGATTGTTTTGATAGTTTGTAATTTAAGATGGGACTGCAGTTTGAGTTCCATAAACGGATGGCGCTAACAGCTAGAACAATGTAAGAAATGCTGGCTTTCTCCAAGTAATGGCATCGTTACTTCTGCAGGGGGAAGGGAGGGATTTCAACCCCTTGGGTTTCAGAGACTCAGTAGCTGGCACTGTTGGCTTGTGCCCCTCCTGCCCCCCCATAATTTGATGACGTGCCTGTACTGTTTTTAGTTATGAAGCCTAGCATTTTGTACAAATTTGTCAGGGAGTTGTCTATTGCTATCTTTCCTGCTGGGGACCTAGGTCACGTGTGTAACTGGTTCCTGTGTAAAGGAACAGTTAGAGCTTTAGCGGTAGCCACGGCTAGGACAGAGACCAAGCCGTGGTGGACGTATCCCGTCCTTATTGCCACAATTCCTTTCTTACGGAATGGCAACACAAAGAGTAAATACTTCCTATTTTGTAAAAATGCTGAGGAACTCCTCTGTCTAAATACTGGAAGATTACTTAATTTTAAAATCAGTTCTTTCTGAACTCTGCTGTATTTATTACTTTTGTTGCAGCATGTTTTCAGTAGCTAGCATTCTCATTGTCTCTAAGAGTGAGACTTTTCATATCTCACTTGAAAGCAAAGTTACTTCTTTCAGATGCTATTCATCTTCAAACCACGATCTTCTCCAGGCTGGTTGTTCTCTTTTGGCTTCTCAGTCTTCTAGCCTGTCACTTTTTTCTTTTTGCTCATCATTATGTGCTATAGATTGTAGCCGTGGAGCACTGAAATTGTTCAGTGCCTAAAATAGAGGCAGTATTTCTGTGTGTTGCCTTTGGGGCTCAAATGCCTTCTTTGGGTTGGTTTTGATGAATTGATTTTTGATGTTAGTTCTATACATGACTATTTGGCTGTACAATTTTTGCTAAGCTTAATGGATATAAATTTTTTCAGTACTCACTGAATTCTTTAAGGGCCTCTTTGCAATAAAGCTTTGATTTGAAACATTGGAAGCCTTGAGGCTTTGTGGGGTTTTATGGGCTTTATTTTGGGATTTGGGTGGACTTTCCTTTTAGGTCTGTGATGAAACTTTAGGAATGCTTCTGTAGTGTTCTGGTTTATTTTTCTTATATTTCTATTAAAGAAAAAAATAACAAATATTTCTATATCTCTAATATTCTGTAAATATTCTGAAGGTCTTTGTGTATTGCCTGTAGGAGGAAGAGGAAGCTTTTTGGCTTTCGGAATGTCGATATGGTTAAAAAAAAGTGAGTGGGTTCATGGCGTTAAGAGTTGTAGCTAGCATGGTGTTGGATGTTACTTAGAAATGTTTTTGTTGGGTAACTTAAATGACTTATTCAGGAATCTGCTTGGAATTATTCTAGATAGAGGCTTAGATTGAACTATCTGCTGAGCTGTTGAATCCCAACTTCATGATAGCACCTACTGACCTGTTACCATGATTGCTCAAACATCCACATCAAAATTGCAGTCTCTGCAGTGTCTTAATGCTTCTTTACCTCTTGCATGACAGCTGACGCTGGCAATAATGTTGACCTCTGATTTATCTCATGACTCATCCCGGTGGAAGTGGCAAAAGCAGAAGTCGCCAAAGAGACGCAGCTTCATCCTGTTCGTCCCAAAAGCTCTTCTCTTCAGATGTTTCAGAGCTGTAGGCCTCGGATGCATCCCTTCAGAACATTAAATTTAAAGAAGAATTTAGGAAACGTACAGGAATTCTCTCAGTAATATGAGTGCCATTAGAGATCTTAGTCTCAACAGTCAGATTTATCAATGCAGGCGGCACGTGTTTCAGGGCTTGATTGTGTTGGACAATGACACTGACTCATTCCACAGCTGTAGTTAATCCAAACAATGCTGAGTCATCAAATAGGGCAAGAGTGTTCCTGACGATGAGTGACCTTGTTCTTAACTGTCAAATTGACTGCTAACTAGGATTGGGAATCCTCCTTAAACAAGATTGCTGTGACCTTCTGTCTTTGAGCTTGGTATATTGATTTTGAAGATCTCGTGTCTCTTTATTTTGTTACTACTTATCTGAAAAGTAGGTGGTTTTTTGTTGTGTTTTTCTTTTTTTTTTTTTTCCCTGAGAACATATTCAGCTTTGTGTCTCACTTTTTTTCCATTCCAGAATGTAGCCAGAGCAACAGTAATAACAGATAGACTACTTGATGCTGGGATTTGTGGCGTAAGTGTTACTCTTCAGTAGTTACTGTTAGTCTTACTTGACTGAAGGGCAGCTGCAGTTAAGGAAGAGGCCCTTGACCTGTCCTGGTGTTTGATACAAGTATCTCTTGATATGCATATTAGTCATGAGCTACTTCCCTTATCTTCAAGTCATCTTGGAAGTAGCAAAAAATCTGGAGAAAGCTTGAGGAACTTCCATTCTCTTTAGGGAAACTAGAAGTTGTTTGTAAAAAGTTCTGTTTTTTTCTCTGATTCTTGATGCAGGAGCACCTTCCCTTCCTAAAAGGATAGGCAATACCCATGCCACAAAGGTTACAGGGTGTGGCAGGTGAGTTGGAGGTAATGGGTGCTTGTTTATCAGCAGCAAAAACCAAAGGATGTTAACCCTTGCTTCTGAAAGCTCTGAAAAAATGTTTTGCTATCTCCAAAGCAATCAGGTCACGTTACACTTCTGTTAATATTCCAAAGCTTCCATTACAGAGGAAAGCTTCGAGCTTTCTGTCTTGATGACCCTAGCTGTGCTAAGCGTTGTCTCCTTAACTTTCTTCCTTTCCTGCCCGGGATGGGGGAGGGAATCTCTTGACAGCTACTTATCAAACTGCAATACGACCTTGAAGCCTAACCGGTTTTGGGGTTTTGGTGTTTAGAAAGGTGGGTATACCTGGCATTAGTTAGAAGGTGAGCAATTCCCCTTCTTATCTGTGGCAGTGGAATTGAGCTTTTCAAGTCTATTGTCAAATGGGGGAGGGAGAATGTAGCTTAGAGACTAAAGATGAGTCCTAGGTCCTAAGAGCCGTGCCCTAAGATTGTAGAAGGCCACGTTGTGTTAATTGACTTCAAAAGGGTTATACTTTGTATACAGTACTACTTTTAGGCTAAGTAAGAATATCAGAGAAGAGATTTTATTAACAGATCAGATTGTCTTGATAGCAATCTTGGTTTATACCAGGGGTTATGTAAGGTTAGAAGAGACTATGTGGACTCATTCTGGTTTTCTTCCTGGATGCCTTCTGATTTTTTTTTTTTTTTAATCTTGGAAAGACAGGCAGAATAAACTGTTTGACTCTTTTGCTGTTCATGAGGTAGGTGAATAATTGGAGTTATAAACAGATGTTATCATTTTATAATTGGTTTTGCTGGATAACTGCTTGGTTTTGCTGGGTTTTGCTGTCTCTTAAGTAGGAACGGCTGATTATTGAAGGGGCAGGTTTGTTAAAACTTTAACAAAATAGAATCTCTCTTTACCCTTTGCTTGTGTCTTTGACTTGAACAGATGCTAAAGCTATAAAGCATTTGAATAGAAGTGGCATCCTGAGTAGAGGCTCATCAGGCTTCACTTTCACAGCTTCCAGAATATCACATTCCATCTACTTTCCAGATCTCTAATGTAGAGATAAGCAGGAAAAAAAAAAACTCTTAAGAAGAAAGAAAATTAGTCCTTCTTTATATATCATAAAGAAACATGAAAGGGTACAAATCCAATTCTATTTTCCTTTTTAGATCCCCTTTAATGAGCCAATAACCCTGCCAACGTTTTTCCCACACCCACACATCCTTCCTGGTGAGGTCCTCCTTTGCACTTGAAGTTAAAAGGTTCTTGAGGTTCCACTTGGAGTGGACTAATAAAGGCATTAATAGATCTACCCAACTTTTTGCTTCATTTGATATCAATCCATTAGAAAGTGCTGTTATGGAAAAGTTCACCTGTAAATGGCTGATAGCTGTTGTGATCTGACAGAACTACAATGGGAAAGTTTAATATTGCATATTTTATTTAAATTTGAATAATTTAGATTACATACTCCTGCAGGTGATACTCTGTTGCTCAACTTTAAGTTTGAGAAAGAGCTCTAAGTGTTTCATAGTTATGACTTATGGCTGAGAATTCTTGTTCGGTCTTCTAACTGAGGCAGCAGCTTTTGAAAGTATTCTCACTAGATTACTTTCAAATACTACTGCTTCGGTATTTCCCAGTTTGACCGGTCATCGGAAGTTTCTCCTCCTGAGAGAACAGCATTACGTGTTGGTCTCTTGTAAGTATTTTATCTTTTTTTCTTATCTCTCCTTTAAAAAAAAAAAAAAAGGGTATTTGTTGGGTATTGACCAACTTCTGAATATTGCTTATGGTGGTATTCTGTTCAGGTTTTAATTTTGAGACTTTTTTCATCTCTTTGCTCTCCAAAGAGCACATCCTTCCATCAGATTTGCAGCTAGCATCTCTCCTTTCTCTGTATGTGAGTTTTATTTTATAGTAAGAGAAATCAGTGCTTATAAAAGGCTGTCTAAGTGCTATCACTTAAAGCTCTGGTCACATGATAGAGGTGTGCATAGTTGCTGTTTGTGTTCCGGCAGTGCCATGGTAGCTAATTCCCCGTACTGTTTTAATCCTTGATAGCTCTTTGAAGATTATCAGCAAGTGCGGTAATTAGTATTATTGTGGTAGGGGAGGTTATTCAGATTTAAAGTTCTGCTGGGCAGGGGCTATTGTTGGTTTTTATTTTGGTTCAATACCTAGAAGTATGGGAACCCACACCTAACAGGACTCTTGAATGCTATACAATGTAAATATTGCCAAGGTAACAGTAAAAACACAGGGCTTGCAGGTTCAGTTGAGCCTGATAATATTCCATTCAGAGTGTTATTAACTTTGAAGAATAGCAACAGTTGAACAATCCAAGCTGCTAACTATCTTATTGTTGATAAAAGTACACAGAAAAAGCAAAGTTGCTTTGTGGGTAGATTCTTATTTGGATACCAGAGAAGGATGCAGATAAATATTTCAGTTGAGTTTGCAGAGACACTGGTATCTTTTTCCCTCCAACCTGACCTTTTGTTTGCATATGAATTATTTACTGTTATCAGAAATAATGAACGATAGCAATTTATAGCTCCTAGGTGTCATTTTATCATCAAGAGGTAAGGGCTGGTGGATGCTGCTTTCTTCCTAAAATCCAAGATGTGTTACCAAAGACAGACATAGTCTACGTTTCTCTTTTCAGGCTTACAAATTGCATCTTTAAAAATCTCCCTTATTAGTTAGAAGTTTGGCCTTACTGCTTCAGGAGGCTACTCAGAATCCACGTCTCCAGTGGTGGAAAATGTCTTCTAATTTTCAATCTTTCTTGTTTTGTCTGTATCTCTTCTTGTGTTAGTGTTGTTTTTATCAACATTGTCCTTCTGTATAGTTCTTTCTCTTTCAGATACTTATGTATATACAGTGCTAAGTTTATCCAGACCATTTCTGTTACTTTGAAAATGGAGTTCAGGAAAAAATATTTTGTGTTGATGTTTTAAATATACTACAGGTGTCTCTTTTTTTTTTTTTGAGATGCTGTAATATCCTGCAGCAGAAGCTTGAACTTTAGAGAATGTCCCTTGTGCAAGGCATGAGATTTTTGGAAAGAAGAGTGTTATAGACTGATGATGACAGAGCAACAAAGGTCAAATTTGAGGAGGCAGACTGAAAGGAAAAAGAAGAGACTGTAGCTGCTGGAGCACAAACTGCTCTGCTCTCTGGAGCAGAACCCTGCGTTCTCCTGTTTCACCGCTTCTCTGCCTTATGCTACAAAATACTCTCGTTTCTCTCTCGGTAGAGCAGGACCTACTACTTCTATTTCTTAAGAGATCTTTGACCTATGAAATGTTTGGGCTGTACGTGAGCTCTGTGATTAATGCAGAGCTATTTCTGTTTACCCAGTCTGTATTTTAAAAAAGAGCAGCCTTCTAAAATATTCACACCTTTTCCATTTACAGACATGCTGAGTCAAACACTTAGAGAATGTTTGTAGAAACACAATTTGGTGTCTGGCTATTTATTCCCTGGGACTCTAATTGCAGTCAAGGTTTTTATGTGCAATAGATATATAAATGTTTTTGATGTTTAGAAAGTGTGGAATTTTTCTATCTCTGAGAAAGATAATTAATGATTTAAATGTTGCAAGTATGAGGCCAAGAGCTTTCTTATAATTTTCTGCAAATGAAGAGATATCACATCACTTTTATAGTCAAACAACTCAGTGATAAAATTAATAGACAATGGAACCTAAGCCATAGAGAACACATGGAGAATAAATCTTTCCAGTTTGTTACTGGTACAGTATGTTCTGGGGCAAAGATCATTTTAACTGCTCAACAGAACAAAATAATTATGATTCATTTTGTCAGTGGGATTTTTCTTTTTTTCCTGGAATTGGTGGTTAATGAAGAAAACTAAACCTATTTTGTTCAGAACATTGTTAAAGCTGATGTTAAGTCTGCATGGGTCAAAGCAGCTTTCACAATTATTTCAAAGTTGAAAATGTGGAGGGTTTTTAATTAATTTTTGGTATCTCAGATCCTTTGCTAATTCTAAATGGAGGGAACAATACATAGGAAGAAAGATGAGAGGAGGGCTATGTCATCTGTGACAGAAGTTTCCATCCTGCTGTAATATTGTTTGAACAACCAGATTAAGAACTTTACTTTTCATTATTAGCAACCTAATTTGAATTTAAAGATCGAGTTTTATCAAGCTTTTTTAGCTGTGTCTCAGCAGTGTGTGTAGGCCATTCAGACTAAGTTAGTACTCTTGTAAAATACCATATTTTTAAGTGTGGAGCTGTGAAGTTCCAAAATATGTCTTTGAAACTAACTGAAAGAAATCTTTTAAGCTATGCTTTTTCCGAAGAACTTGAGCCTCTCTGTTTTTGGGCATGCTACGAACTAAATATTTGAGATACCATGTTAACAGACATCCAGGTTTACATGAAAATGTATTAGAATTTGTGGGCAAATGCCACCTAGTAGTATGAAATACGTTTTTGAACGTTCAGATGAAGGCTGGGTAATTGACTTAGGCTAAAATGTGGTCACCTAGGCCTTCCAGTATAGAGCAGAGCAGCATCAGAACAGCAAGTTATGAACCTAAATAGCTTCTAAGGTGGCTAACGAAAACAAGGCGTGAGGTTGTCAAGAGGACAAGGGATGGCTGGTTTCAGGTTGCTGGAATGTGAGATCAGGGTTTTCAGAAGACACTTTTGCATTTTGCTCACCTTTCTCTCTTCCCAGAATTAATGATCGATATATCACTAGGGTACTGCCTTTTAAAAAAAAAAAAAAAAAAAAAACAGCTTAGAAAAGAGAATATCAAAATAAACTTCATTTCTCATTGCTAGTTTGTTACAGCTGCTAAGTAGTGCCAAAAAGCAAACCTCTCATCACTGAGCTTAGCTAAATCCAGGGGATTTAGCTGATATTCCTGACTTTGGTGTTAGGCTGTATATAGAGGCAACTGTTGCAATGCCTTAGAAGATAAATTGTACTATCAACACAAACTCACAGCAGCAGCTTTCTGAGCTCAAACTGGAAGAGAGAGGTGTTTATAGCGAGCTTATGCATGGCTAAGGAGGTACAAGACAGCAGTCAAACTACTGCTTTCAAGCAGAGCTGTCACAGACAGAATTCTGTGTCCCTTAGCTTCTGCTTTTGCATGTGATTGTTTTATGCTGGAGTTATATCTGTGGGGTGGACAATAGTTTTAACCTAGTGTTTCAGCTGGCATGTTGTTGTGCTCTAAACCAATCTTCTTTTCACCTTTTCTCCACTTGCTATCTCTTTTGCTAAGCTATCATTTTCTGTTCTGTACTCGGGAGAAAACGTTTGTTTCAACACAGTATGTATCTTACCTTCCCAAGCTTAGGGGAGTAAATATGCACTTGGTCTTTATACTATAGTGAGCTAGATGTTTCTAGCATAAAAAAAAAAAAAAAAAAAGGAGGGGGGAATCCCCACCCCCCCAGACAAAAAGGTGCCTTTTTGAACTTAGTAGTTTATCTGTGGACTTGAATGTGATCTGTTTTATGAAGGAACGTATTTTAATTTACCTAACGGTTCTGTGGGACAACGTTCTAGCAGAAATGGAGAACAGTACTTGAGGATTTTCTCCCCTAATACTGTAGCATATCTTCTATTTTCTGCCCTGTATGTTGCACAGATTGCTTGTGTTTTGTCACAATGGTGAAGTATTGCAGTACAAGAAATTTGGGTTATTTTTGTTGTAAGTACTGTATGGATGTAATTAAGACTGTTCTTTTCCACTAACTGATAGTATGGACGTATTGTTAAAGGCATGTGGGTTCAACAAGTGAGTGGGGTAAAATGAGGTAAGAGCAAGATGATTGTTCAGCGTACGAAGAAGCAAGTCACGGCACATTAACTACTTACTCATTGTCAAATGTTTCATAGGCATCACAGTCCAAATTAATTGTCAAGGAAGACTTTAAAGCAAGGTAAGCTGGTGGATTTAAGAGTTCTTAGAAGGAGCTCTCATTTATGTAGGGAATGTAGTAAGTAAGTACAAAGATGCTTGAAGGAAATGATTGGACTAATTGGCACGGAAGTCTGGTATAACTAAGGCAGAAGCGTGGATTGATAGCCTAGTATTGGATTATAATTGACAGGTAGGGCAAAGCTGGGCTGTGAAGGGTCTTAAAGGTGAAGAACAAGTAGTTTCTGTTACTGTTTGATGGAAGGATGGGGACCCAGTAAAAGCACAAAAAGCATGAGTGAATGGTCTTTTGAGGCTGCTCTGTGTGCAGAAGCAGTAAGAAAAGCTGCAAGACGATAATGGCCTGGCTTGAGTTACAGTAGGCATGGCGGAGAATTGCATTTCTGAAGTGCCAGCTGGAAAGGAGTGGCTGGTATGTTTGGACCAACAATAGGCTCCATGTTACTGCCCTGAATGACAGGAAGAGTAACGGAGAAAATTTGGGAAGAGGACTAACGGAGAAGGCTTGAACAAGAAAAGAACAGGGCTTCGTTTTTGACCCTCTGGAGTTCTCATCAAGGAGATCAGTGAGGAAGAAGGACAGCTAGGAGGAAAGCACATCCAAGTGAAGAAGCATGTCTGAGTTGCTTGTGCACACATGGCATTTGCATGATTTGTAGATGCACTTCAGTTGAAGAAGTCATAATAAAATGAGCTGCAAAAGTCATAATAAAATGAGCTACAGGTGGACATTCTGTGGGAACATCCCATGTCAAAGGAGGAAACAAGCAAAGGGCTCGCCAAGTGAGATTTGGAGGGACCAAGACAGCTAGCAGAGGATGTCTCTTCCTCCTTCCTTTAGGAGGAGGAAAAAGTCGGGGGGAGGATAAAGGATAGGGAGAGATCTTATCTCCCCTAGAGAGATACAAACACTGCAGATTTGTTACACATCTGTCTTCTTTATGGCTTTAAAATGCTTTCAAACATACCTAGATGTTCATCTTCCTTTTGGAGATTACTAAGGCAGTCTTAGCTAAAGGATCTTATCCTCAGCAAGCTAAATGTAGGCTCCCTATTCAGGGTGCTGTTCCCAGGCTTTGCCTGAAATGGAAGCGTTTGAAAAGCACATGTTGGATTCAGTTACTTAACAGGGTTCTAACACCCTCTGAAATTATTAATTTTTCTGGAAATTTTTCTACTTGTTGTAGCTGGAAAGGAGGAAAAAAAACCCTTTTCAGTTCATTAACAGAATGTAACTAAGTGGGTATGTCCCTGTGCATTTGCAGGGCCTGAAATGGGAAAGGTGATTAGACTGGCATGTCTTGTTTGGCTGCCGTTTGCTTCACATTCTTCTTGACGTGAGACGGATGCCGTTAGCGTGTCAGAGCCCTGCATGTGGAATGGGGAGCCAAGTCTGAGGAGCACGCGTAACTGCGTTTTGAATTTTTGCATGGTCTACTGCCAGTGGTGTTTTGTTAGCTAGGCAGAACTCTCTCTGCACAAGACCTTCTTGAGCTGAAGAGGCATGCCCTCTTGAAATAAAACTCTGCTCTTTACCAAGACAAGAAGTAAGCATATAATCTCCACTGCATTGTGCAATGTTCTTTGAAATGGCACCTTAGGAGCCCTGGAAAATATACTTATGTTAAGTGTTTTAAAGTTGAAGTGGAGATTTCTTAATATGCCTTATACAAAAGTAGTACTTTGGAGTTCTGACTTGATTAGATTGAATTAACTTTTTTTTTTTATTTACTTTCTCATTCAATGTAATGTACGAGTAAGCATGAACATAATTCTTTTTTTACGGTCACTGGTTTCCCCATATCCCATATCCTTCAGTCTGCGATTCTGAGCTACTTTCAGTCTTGCCTCCAGGAAGTCCTCCTTTGATCTGCAGGTCTCTGCTTCTCTGCATGTGTACATCACAGGCAAGTTTTCTGTTGCTTGTCTTGAGTTTTGCCATTCTTTTGAAAGTGGACAGACTGTTCCACAAAGCGGCATGCTGCCGCCACTGGAAATCCTGTGCTTTAGCTCTTATCTGTGTAAGTTTGTTGTTGTTGTTGTTGTTGTTGTTGTTGTTGTTTGACCTTTTTGTTGGAAGTGCCTGACACGCCAAGCAGAATTTGTGCATCTGAAACGTAAGAAGAGAATGGTGTGTATCTGCTGAAATTGATTGGTAAAGTGCATGTTGAGATATAAAGTAGAAGTGTCCAAGATGTATAAAAACACTGAATTGTTTTGGGTTAGAATGAAGTTGGTAGAAATTAGGGCTTGTTTATAATTTCAGTCATATCTAAAGCTTTTTTTTAATGTCCTGATTCTAATCTGCAGTGCAAACTAGCCTTTTAAAGTGGATGCATTTGTACTTTAAAAACATGTTCTGTTTGGAAATTAGTACAAATACGAGCAATTGTGCAATTCCAGGGAATGAATTTAATTTTTTTCAATCAATCTGTACAGAAGTGAGATATATAGGGGGGGAGGGGGAAGAAACAAAGCCGAGATAAAAGATTTTGAAATATTTGGGTGTTTCCATAGGTGTTTCAAAAGCAACTCAGTCTGAAAGGAAGTGGTTGAAAATGATATTGATGTATCAAATTATATCGAGAAGTATAACACTCCAAGAATAAGCTAAATTTAAGGGGAAGAACAAAAATTTTCTAATTAACAAAAGTAAATGAACTTGGGAATTTAAAAAAAAAAAAAAAACTCAATCAAGTTTTGCTTGAAGCTGACTGAAGTTGACACGTGATGCAATACAACTCTTAACAGAACCTCAATGTTTGCTCTTTTTGCTAAAATGAGGTAAAACCAAAACTTTACTCTTCAGAAGACATGATCAGATTACTCTAAATGATTTCGAGGGCATCTTGTTTTCTGTGTGTTTAACTCATTTTCACCAAATCGTGCACAAAAAAAATCTTGACATGTATACTGTAATTGCTTGAGGTTTGTTCCTCCCTGGACTCCATCATCAAAGTCCCCACCAAGAGCATGGCCATTACGTGCATCTCCTGGAGAATCACAGTACTGTGTTGCTTGCTAGTGACTGGAGACTGGTTTGGGCAGCCGTTGTTTAGAAATAGCATAAAAATAAAGCTGACTGGAAAAGAGCTAAAATCCAAACATGTAGGTACTTCCCCCCCTAGCTTGGCAAAGGTTAAATCTGATGGGGAGCCCCTTTAGCTTAAAGGTGAAGTGGGGCAAATGGGTTTTAAGAGTTCCCTACAGCCACGGGGTTGTGGCTTCTGGGCCAAAACCGAGGACTTCTCTTGTTTGTCTGGTCCAGCCAGCTTCTGCCTCCTCCTAGGAGGAGCGCCTGGGCCAAGCAGTATATGCCAAGCCTCCTAGTTTGTTTAAAAAATGCCGGTAGGTACCTCCAAGAGGAAAACACAGTTAAACACACAAACAAAAAACCTGTGTGCTTTCTAAAATACTCTCTTAGATTGCACTGAGTGTTTGTGACAGAGGATGTATTTTATTGTTCAGTCTGCCAGAATACTGTCAAAATAACCCCTCACTGAACAGTTGCTCTGTAATGTGTTTCACTATGCGTTTGCAGGGATAGGAAATGCTTTTTTTTTATTTGTTTGTTTTCACTTAAATCAGTGGAAATAAGTATTTAAGGCTAAAGCTGTATTGTTTGAATATTTATATTTCATATTTTTACTTAACAGAGCGGAATATTGGTGATAATAGTTCTAAACCAAAGAAAAGGCAAGAAATGAGTTCAGAAGCTAGTACTTCATCTAATGAAGGAAGTCGTCCCAGCTCAAGGTAAATTTGTTAAAACACTGCATTGCTTTAATAGAATGAGAAATGCCAATAGAAAGTGACTGAAACTCTGAATACTTTTTTTACTTCATCTACGGTTAAGGTTCATATTTATGTTTATCTAATATAGCAACTTAAACTTTTGTACACCTTAGAAAATATTTGCACCAAAGCCAAGTATTGTTTTGCAGCTGTTGTTTTCTCATTTTAAGACTCAATTGACATCTCAGTGAACCACAAATTAGCGTGTACAGCTGCTCTCAGTAGGGCTACTTAGAGACCAGACAATAGAAGTTGTCAGGAAAAGGGCAGACATAAAATGTAAAGTCTTGAAGAAATAAAGTGGTGGGTTTCTTCTCAATACATCTGAGCTATAAACTAGCCATAACTGTATGCATGTTTTTCATGTTCTAGTTTTTGTAAAACATTAGATACTGGGGTATTTATAGCATGTTGTCTATCCTTCTGTCAAATCGAGTATGTTTAATTAATGGCTTTACATTTACCTAAAGGGTGTCGCTTATCCTTTAAAACTTTTTTTTTTTTTTTTAAAACAACTGCAGCACTTCCTTTTGGGTCTTTGAGAAATGTTATGTTACGTGTTCCTTGTATTTTTCATTGGCGTGTAGCAGTAATCAAACGGTAGTGGTCAAGAAGCAGTGGAAAATAGGATATAATACAGCCATCGCATGAAATATTAGCTTGGCTTTAGA